ATGACACCTTGTCCTTTCTAGTTTTACCACTCATCCATCTAAGCATTCGAATTTCTGCCACACTCATTTTTTGGACATACTGTTTCTTAACTTCCCAACACTCTGCCCCATATGAAGTACTGCTTTAGTAAGAAATAGTAATATGATGTTAGTCAGAAGACCTACAGGAGTTAGGTGGATGCTGAAGTAGGGGGGACAAGAGCCAAGTACACAGGATATGGCACTCGATAGAGTGGAATGGCTAAAGAGGATCCCTTTTGGGACATGATTTATTTTCTGTGTATATGGGGAGAGAAAAAGAGAAATTTATACTTGTAGTGGAAATGTTCAAAGTTTAGATACACAGAAGACTCGCTTGTTTAGCTAATGTACGAAAAAAAAAAAAAAAAAGAAAGGAGGAATAGGTTAAGCATGAATAAGTGATCACTGTCACTGTAAGGAATCAAGTTGTCAAGTGGTTGAGTTCATCAACTTATGGTGTAAAACACTTTCTGAATTCTGACACAAATCAGAAACAAAATGTGCCATCAAGTCATTACATAAAGGAACCTCCAACCTTTCACAAATAGCATCCCCGTCTCCTCAGTCGTAACATACTCCAACGAAGGTCATAATGTTGTCATGTTCCATTCCAATTATGACGTTCGATCACAACAAGGTCCAATGCAAATATAGAATTTCAAGAAATTTACTGCATTCTAATTTCTAACGAAATAAGATTAATTACGAACTAAAAACTGGCAAACATGAAAGCCAGAACTTTAGAGTCAAACAATGGTGACTAAATTTACTCCATGTAAGCAACCTAGCAGTAATTTATAAGTACCGACAGAGTAGCTCGCAAGTTTGAAGAACTCGGTGATGCGGCCACTGAAGAGTAAAGGGAAGCTCGAGCAATTTCCGTCAGAAACCCGAGGTGAGGGGGAACGACTCCTTCCCTACAAAGGTTTCGATTTAGGTATTCCGCCGTATCCTGCGTCCTCCCGTTACTGCGCGGCGTGGAAGGCACGGCTTCCATCGAAACTCCTACTTTGTAGTTTGTACTCTAATCACAACCGACACCTAGAGATTCTTTATCTACGATATATTAACAACGACGGCGTTGCTGGATTGAACAGAAGAAAACGAACCAAAATCGGAAGAACAGTGAGAAATGAAACTCAAAGCTTAGATCTATTGATCCAAGAAGCAGCAGGAAACCGAAACTCGAATTCTTTTCTGCTGGATAAATAAGAACAAAGTTACAGGAAGATTCGGAACGAACAATAGCTACAACGAGAGAGAAAGAAGACGCTTGTTGGGGCCTGGGAAGTTGGGAGGCAAATGACTTTTGCTAAGACGTGGTTTTACCGTTTTATCGCTGCACTAAAACAACGAAATCAAGGTCTTCCAATTTAGGGCTGTCAATGGGTCGGGTCCGACCCTCCGATTGGACCGGTTCTGGTTCCAAGAAGTGTTCCTATTATTATCGGTTCAGAACCGGTTTCACCCAGTCCCAAATTGATTCCGATTCAACCCAAACTATATATGATATTTAATATATATTAAACATATATATTATTTATTTCTTTATTAGAACCGAGTTCGTTAGACCTGGTTGTCCACTGATCGATTCGATTCTCGATCTAAAAATTATAGACCTTATTGGGTCCGATCGGTTCAGGGTCCTTAGTATTTCATGTCAGGTCGATTCTTGATTCTAGCTGTTCTCAACCCAGATCCAACCCGTGGCAAAGATCCTTTTGGTTTGAGCGTAGGCTAAAACCAAACACCATTGTTTGGGTCAAATAATATGATCATCCAATTCAAATGAATTGACCATTTTGATTTAAAAATTACAAAATTTAAAAAATAATTAAAATAAAAAATGACCAAACACCATTGTTTGGGTTCAACGGTTCAGTTGCTCGGGTCAGCAAATCGCTAACCAAATCAATGGTTTTTGGCCTAAAAATGGTTTTAGGGTGAAAATGGAATCGGTTCCCAGGTCAATCAGTCCAATCGTCTGGTCCGATCCTATTTTCAAAATCATGCTTTTTGAATAGAGCTGAATTTGAGCTAGTATCTAACTTGAATCTTATAGCTTTTTTGGTGATTCAAACTCAAATAGCCAAATATTCGGCTCGGCTCAAATCTATCCCTAATTACATATATTAACTTATATGTTTATCTTTTACTTGCATATTTGCATTATGCCCTTATACTAGTATAAAAAAACGATGGCAGATTTAATCGTATTATTATCATTTTATAATTTGTGATAAATCAGGACGCAAGTGGGTTGTTAGAAACTAGGCTTTTTTTTAGTAGTATGTTGTTTGAAACTAGTTGAGTTGCATCAAAACTAGTTTTTGATGGGGGGATTCAGAGGATAAAAGAAATGTGAGATGGGTGTGTTGGGATAAAATTTGTGAGAACAAGGGTTTTGGGGGAATGGGCTTTAAGAGATCTGCATACTTTTAATATTCCCCTTCTCTCAAAATTAGCTTGGAGGCTTTGTTTTGACTCTTCTAGCCTCTAGGCTCGAGCCATGAAAGGTAAATATTTCCCAAATGATTACTTCTTAAAGGCCAAAGGTAGAAGAGGGCAATCTTGGGGTGGAAGAGTGTGCTGAAAGGGAAGGGTGTGATTGAGAAAGGGGCAGTTTGGAAAATTAATAGAGGAACTAACATAAGAATTTGAGATAACCCTTGGATCCTAGATGTTAATGGTTTTAGGCATGTTGGTCCAAGACCAAGGCCAAGCAACATTGACTTGGTTTCTGACCTCATAAACTAGGAAAATAGGGAATGGAACCCTGAAAAACTAAACTCCTTATTCACCCCTACCCTTGCTGAAAAAATTATGCAGATTGACCTCGCTAAAAATCTATGGGAAGACAGATTGGTGTGGAATCCAAACAAAAAGGGTTTGTTCTCAGTTAAGTCAACCTATTCAATAGCTTTTGAAAATCAGGGTAATAGGAATTTTGCAATTCAAACTTCAATGATCACTCATAAAGGATGGAATGCAATTTGGAAGATTTAAGTAGAGCCAAAAATTTTAAATTTCCTATTGGAAATGTTGCTTGAACAAATTTGCAGTTAAGGAGAATCTATTTAACAGAAAAATAGCTTCATCCTCCACCTGTGAAAGATGTAATCATCATGCTGAATCCATTTTGCAAGCTCTAGTATACTGTGAAGAAACTAGGTGCATTTGGTTAGGGGCAGGTATCAGGATTGACCTGCAACAGCTCAGCCATATGGATATGTTTGATAGTTGGTTCATGATTTTGTTAAATGATATGGGAAATTTGGAAGGATAGGAATGCTTTCTATTATGAGAAGATTGATTCTAATCCTTTGGATGTCATCTCTTTTATTCATAGATTTATAGTGGAGAGATCTCAAAACTTGCCTCTGAGATTGGAAAGCTCTTCAAGAGTTGAGTTTTGTTCAAAGATCACTTCATCTTTTTGGGTTTCACCAAAAGCAGGTTCTGTCAAAGCAAATGTGGATGATGGGTTTTGAAATCCAAGAGAAGCTATTTGCAAAAGTTGGTCATGTCCAAGCTTCTTCTTCTTTGATTGTAGAAGCCAAAGCCTTATTTGAAGTAGTGAAAACTGCAATTGATTTAAATTTGGAAGTAGCGGTTTTTTTGAATCAGACTGTAATTCTCTGATAGACAATCTTTTTCATTCTAATTTGAACTGTCATTGTGATTTGTTGTTTTTATGCATGGATGTGAGGAAGCTGATTCAAGGAAGATCTTTTTATTTTTGTTGGGTGCCTCGCTCTGCTAATGGGGTGGCACATAATATATCTATCCATGGTTTGTCTTCTTAGAGTTGTTTCGCTGAAGCTATGCCTAGATGGTTGGCGGACTCTGTGGTGTTTGATCAAGTTAGTAAAGAACCTTAGTTTTGGCAGTAGTTGTTGTATGTGTCTCTTCTCTTTTTTTTCTTTTTTCTGGTTATGTTTCTCTTCCTTGTTTGTTGTAGGTGTGTTGTCGTTTCTTTTCCTATGTCGCAAATTTAGGTCTATGAGTGTCTTGCTTTTGCCTTTTGTTGTATCTATTTCTATTGTTGTTGATGGGCTAACTATTTTCTCATACTTTTTTAAAGGGATTCTAAATTAAGAACCTAAATGAATGCAAGTTCCTAGTTTAAAAGGCTAAAGGCATAGTTGAGGTACAATGGCTCACATAGGTGAAGTATAAGCCTCAAGGCATAGCAAGGTATAAGCCTCAAATTTTTTTAAAAAACATTAATTCAAGTTTATAAATAATAAAAGGATCCTATGATAAATTAGGATATAATAATAGAACTTACAAGCATTCATAAAATACAAGTCTATAAGCAATAGAATTTAGCATTCAACAAAACAATAACTATAATCACATAATGACCATAAGGTTGTGTTTGTTTTCAATGTAAATGCAAATCGACGTAAAACTCCATCGTCAGTTCGTATTTGCACATGTTTATTTTTAGTGCAAATACGAAGCGGTGTAAAATTCCACACTCAGTTCGTATTTTAACTTATTTGTTTTTAGTGTAAGGTTTACATTGAAACCCATTGGTTGACTTTTTCATCAATTATCACATAAAAAAATGTCCAACTTTCCATTAAATTTTTAAACCCATCAATTTAGTTTTACATTGATGAATTTTCCACCAAAAATAAATGCAGCCTAAGGGGGCGTGTGATAATGCTTTTCAGAGTTTCGGTGTTTGAAAAACTTGCTTTTCAAACACTAGAGCCATTTGGTGTCATTTTCAAATCTAACTTTTAAAGCTCATGGGCCGGCTCTTAACACACTCAAATGCGTTTTAAAGTGATCCAAAAGTCATAAATACCCCCCAAGAAACATGGAAATGACATGCTTTTGCCCTTGTTAATCCCAAAACCTAACATTTTCCTCCATTTGCATTTTCTCTTGGAAGAGCATCCTCATGACCGCTCCTCCTCCTCCGCTTCTTCTTCTTCTTCTTCTTCTTCTTCAAATGGTTGTTCATAGGGTTCAAATATTCTTCTTTAAACAACTCTTTATATTTAACAAACATTGGCTTACAGTTGTTATAATCTTTATGTTTATTTTGATTTTGATTCTAATCTTTTTGTTTACAATTGTTTTTCTTCAAATGGTTGCACTTCAAATGATTCTTTATGTTTATTTTNTATTTTGATTTTGATTCTAATCTTTTTGTTTACAATTGTTTTTCTTCAAATGGTTGCACTTCAAATGATTCTTTATGTTTATTTTGATTTTGATTTGTTTAATTACAATTATTTACATTTGTTATAATCTCCAAACCATTGATGAATTTAGGGGTAGAGCTAGGATTTTTTCTTTGGGGGGGGGGGGGGGGGGGGGGCAAAAGCCAATATGATTACTTAAATATCAATCCAAATAAATCTAATACATGATTCTAAATATCAAAATAATGAATTCTATTATTTATCAATTATAAAATACATAATTGGGTATCTATCTAACTTATATATTCTATAATGAAAGACTGAGAGTATAATGAATACAAAAAGAAAAAACTCTTCACTTTTTAAGTTGGCCTCGTTGCTCTTTCACTAAGTAAAAATCATCAATAATCATGTCTACCATGAAACTTTCAGAAATTTCCTTCTCAATGTAGACAATCAAATAATTTGTGATAAAGTCATCTTCCATTCTATTGCAAAACATAGTTTTAATAATTTTCATGGCTGAAAAAAGCTCACTCAGTAGTTGCTGTTGAAACGGGAAGAGTCAAAATAAGTCGAATCAATCTATCAATTAAAGGATAAACTTTTGACTTTCTGGTTTCCATCAATCATTGACATAAATCATCAATGGTAGACAAATTCTACAAATTTGGATGGTTGGGCACACCAAGCTTATAGTGTTGCAATTGATATCTCAACTGATTTTTTTTCTTGATCAGAAAAATCTAGAGGAAAAAACTTCTCAACCAAATTACATATATCATCGACTTTGAAGGATTTATATGCATCCCTAGGATCCAAAGTTGTACTCAAAATAAGAATCTCTATTGCTTGTTCATTGAATCTACAATTTAACTCTTGCAATTGATGATCTATAGCAGATGTAAATATATCTATTCGATAATGATGCTCCACTGTCACATTATCCTTTTGGTGACGAGATTGAATTATATTTGAAAAATGAGCATTCATATCAGGAGCTTGAATATCTTGACACTGAAAAAATGATGTCACACTCTCCAAAAGAGCTTCCCAACCATCATCTCTCAACTTTTGTATCAACAATTTTGTTGTAAAGACTAAATGCATAGCATTAAGAATGTTTTAAGATTTTTTTTGCAAAGTTCGACAAAGTACAT